GGTGGAAACAGCAGAGACCCCGGCGCAGTTGCATCGCTGGAAGTGGGGTCTGCAGTGCTGATGGTGTCGGTTGGAGTGCTTGGAGTCCTCAGCGAGCACTAGGAGCATCGATTAGCGGAGGTACTCAGTCGGAGTGCCAGCGTTCCGTCACATTTGGTGGCAGCGGCGGGATGGCGTCCTAGTGCGAGGACCAGCAGCTCAGAGACACCGGTAACATGTGGAGTTACAGATTTATAATTGAGGGTAACGCTAGCCTCTGCGCAGCGTCCCTACCTACAGCAACATGGAGCTAGCAAGACCCTGGACAGCAGCCAGTGAATTGCAAATCCGCCTGTCACAGTGCTATGAGGGTGCTGATTTCATGAAGGAAGTAAAGGCGCGGCTGGTCTGGTTTGGCCCAAACCCTTCAGATGAGGTGGTCCATCAAGTGATGCGCATGTTGAGTGCTGAGAACCAAGACGCACGGAACTTCGAGTGCCAACTGTGGAGTTTGGGGGTATTGACACCCCGTCTCCAGCGACAGAGTGAGTTACAGGGAGAGGAGAGCAGCGACCTCCCATCCCAGCGGCAGTGCACCATACAGAGGGAAGAGACAACCGGTCTCTCTCTCCAGCGGCGGCCTGAGTTCCAGGAGGAGGTGATGGTAGATCCCTCCCCCGTACAGCAACCAGCGTCCTGGGGAGGGGAGGCAACCGGCCTCCCTCTCCAACAGCAGCCAGAGGTGGGCGACCTCATAGACTTGTCCTGGGGACACAGAGAGATGGCAAGCGGAGATGGGACCAAAGTCTCTCTGCCAGCCCTACAGGGATGCTGGGCAGTCAGCCCAGGTCCCCAGCGGCAGTATAATATACAGGGAGAGGAGACAACTGGTCTCTCTCCCCAGCGGCGGCCTGAGTTCCAGGAGGAGGTGATGGTCGATCCCTCCACCTTACAGCAACCAGCGTCCTGGGGTGTGGGGGCAACCCGCCTCCCCCTCCAACAGCAGCCAGAGATACCGGGAGAGGGGGAAGACAAACCTAACCACACTGGCGCAGATGGGACCGCGGTCTCTGTGCCAGTCCTACAGGGAGGCTGGACTGGCGGTCCAGATCCCTAACCAACCCCGCAGGGATGCCAGGAGGAGGAGGTAAGCGAAACTTCCCCTCCCCAGCTACATCCCAACTGGGTCCTGGGGGCAGTGGATGAGCCTGCGATACCCACTGATCCCCTCCCAGCAGAAGAGCTGGCATCTGGGCAGAGCTCTGTTAGCCTCTGCCCCCCCTTTTCCCCTGTATCAGAGCCTGACTTACCACGGGTTACCCCAGTGGAAGAGATGGCAGCAGGGCAGAGCGCCGCTGGCCTCTGCCCCCCAAGCAACACCAGCAGTTTGCCTAGCTGCACCAGGGAGACCGAGAGTGCTGCGCTGTCCCACTACAAACTTGAACCTACAGGCCAGTACCATTTATTGTGTGGGGGTTACTCTGCGTATTTTTCTTTGTGGGTGGGCTGCCCGACTAATCTAGGTACTGACCGGCAGAAGGTCAGGTACCTGTTTAGTCTTCCCCCCAAAGGGAAGATGTGTGACGAAGTGCCCTTCACCACTTGTGCCTTGAGAGGACTGCTTGCCCGCCTCTTGCCCTGTAACTATGGCCCCTGGGATGTATTGCCCTTTAAAGACATGATTTGGGCATAATGGATTTGTGTTGTGCTGCTGCTGGCCCTTTAAGAACCATCTGGGGACATACTGTGGAGTTACTGGGTGGCCACCATTTCCTGTATCAGAAGCACATGGTGAGAACAATGGATGGCGGCCATTTAAACTCACAGACACTGTTTGGACTTTTCAACACGGTGCCATCTCGACAGTATTTGGTGCACAGAGACATCGTGCAGTGGTTTTGGACTATACAGCAGGGGACACATTATACAGTAATTGTTTTTCATTTAGCCTGTATATGTTCTGCAGAATCTGCATTAAACTGTATTTTCCAAAGTACTGAAAGGATCTGGGTGAATTTTGGATATGTGGTTCACCCAGATCCCCCGGTTCCAAGGATATACTTTTTATGGGGTTATTGCGTGTTTTGGGGTCCCTGTGATGTATATTTTAGAAGTTGTGAACTGTAAAAATTGTAATGTTTCTGGCCAGCAGATAATTGAGCTTTGTGTATTGTAGAAACTCAATTATCTAGCCTGGCCCAGAGGAGGAGTTTTGTGTTGCATAAATTGTGAGTTCTGTGTGCCAGTAAATCAGTCTTGTTCCAGCATTAAGCCTTGGCTCATGTTTGGGGGAAGGGATACCTACACTCTGGGGATTGCTATAATCACTTACTCCCCAGAGGAAGTTCTTGCAATAGCTTGATTTGTTCCTGTTCCTGCTCTCTGGGGAAAGAGAGGTTCACCCACTGGAAGCTGGATCCTGGCCTTGGGTCCAGGGTGGGTGGAAACAGCAGAGACCCCGGCGCAGTTGCATCGCTGGAAGTGGGGTCTGCAGTGCTGATGGTGTCGGTTTGAGTGCTTGGAGTCCTCAGCGAGCACTAGGAGCATCGATTGGCGGAGGTACTTAGTCGGAGTGCCAGCGTTCCGTCACAATGACCCCATAGGTTTTTTGATTTTGCGCATGTGCTCTGTTCTGTCGCTGTGCTATGGGGGTTAATACCCCCGCAGCACGGAGTCTATTAAACAAACGAAAAGGTAATGCATTCGGCATTGGCCCTTTTGTTTCGTTTATATTTTGTTTGTAGGGCTTTCATTATTTAGGACCTTGTTCTTGTTTTTATTGAGAATGTAAGCAGTTGTTGTAACGGATCACCTGGCACCCCGACTGGGTACCTCCGTTGAAGGATGCTCCTAGCGCTTCCTGAGGATTCCAAGCACTGCAGCAGACACCACAACCACTGAACCGGAGAAGCATACGAATGCTCTCAAGCATTTGAGTGCTGTAAGCAGCTGTAGCGGAGATGCAATATTCCCCAGGTTATCTCCGCTTGTAATCCAAGTGAGGCTCAGGAACAAGTAAATAATAAATCCAAAGGCAAGGTTTCCAGCAAGTAAAATACAGCAATATCCCCACAGCAATCCCAATAACTGGACGACACACAGTTTCAGGAGCAGAACTGACAAGCCTTTAATCACAGTCTCCTTATAAAGTATGCTCCCATGCAAGGGAGGGATTTACAGTAATTATTACAGTAGCCAATCCTGTCCTGGTAACCTCCCACATATCTCCTCCCCTCAGCCAGCATCATAATCCCCTTATCCAGTACACCAATTCCCCCCGTTTCTGGATGTACCCCTAAACGTAGGGATACCACTTTAAATCCTACATCCCCTGGTAGCCCTGATCTGGGTGAACCACATATCCAAAAATCACCCAGATCAGACCAGGGGTTCGGGAAAAGTATGGGGGGAATAAAATGACCGACCGCACAAACTGAGATAGCCGAATTCTGTTCCATGTGAATGGGCCCTGCGGTCGGTCCTGGCATAAGGGAATAAAATGCACGAAAACCTTTAGCTATAGAGGCTAGGGAGGGTTCACCTGAATCCCCTCGTTCGGTATTCTCTATCTACCGAACGAGGGGCCGTTCGGTAGTTTGGAACCGAACTGACAAGGGCTGTGGAGGTCTCAGCGGTGTTCGCCTACTCGAGTGTCCGATTTTAGTTCCAGACACTCGACGGCAAAACACCGCTGTTCGGGAGTTTTAAAATGGCCGCAGCCACGTGTTCGTTTGTCGAATGGCGGCCACCCCCGAGAACAAAGGACGGCTACTTACTGTTCAATTACCCGTTCGCAACAATGTTGCAACTGGTAATTGAGGACACACTTCACACAGGGAGGTCTGGTTGTTCGGTAGTTTCATTCGAATAAACTAAGGGAATGGAACTACCGAACAATCACAAGAATACAAGGCTTTAAAACACATAGAAAACCAGCAGATCACCCGAATGCAATTATTTCGAAGACATTTGCAGGACAGCCCAGTGCCATCCGCTACAGCAGCTGAACAGGAAAAGCATAAAATCAGCTTACACTCCTGGCAATCAGCATACAATCCAATTCCCCGAATAACGAGACGACACTTCATTTTGAGGTCAAGCAGAACTGACTGTACTGGCACATACAGCCTCTTTTATTCACAATCCACAAACATAGTACTGCCCACAGGGTTTTGAAATACAACCAATCAATCCTTACAATACACACAGACACTCCCACACAAAATCCTCCCCTCTGCCTGTGATATGATTATTGAACACAATTGTTAATTTAATTATGACAGGCAGAGAAATACAGTATAATAAAACACATCACAGGGACCCCAAAACATGCAATAACCCCATAAAAAAGTATATCCTCGGAACCGGGGGATCTGGGTGAACCACATATCCAAAATCCACCCAGATCTGTTCAGTAGTTTGGAAGATAGTACTTACCTGCAAGAAAGGGCAGAAGACATGAGCAGCTGCCTGCAGGAACACTGATACAAAAGGAATGGCGGAAAACAAACGGGTGTGTCAACTCAAAACAAACATTTAAATGAATCCAGGAGACTGGGAATTCCAGGGACGGAATCATGGAATGAACCCAGAAACCCAGCATAAAGAAAACCAGACATGGAATAGAAAACCAGAAAAACCAAGAAAAACCAAGAAAAACTGTAAAAAGAGTACTGGATACCAGAAGCCATTGCCAGAATGATCCGCAGCGAGGAACAGGATGTAACATAACTCCCCTCCTAAGGAGCGACCTCCGGACGCTCCAAACAGCTCCCAGGCAGAGACCAGGAATGGCGAGCGGATCCTGCAACGAAATCCTCTTGACTTCCACGGAGGCAAGGATTCCCCACCAGAGAGGCCTCCTGCATAGGAACTACCAGCAACGAATGAATATCACCACCAGAACAGGCGCACTGCCACAAAAAACAGAAACGGAACCGGAATCAGGAATAATCCAGACAGGACTGGATACAGACAGGCAGGTCAGGAAAGCTGCAGAGTCCACTCCACGAACTCCAAGTGCCTACGGCCATACCAGTCTGAAAATGCCTGATCTCGTCAGATTTCAGAAGCCATCCAAACTCGGGCCTGGTTAGTACTTGTATGGGAGATCAACTAGGAACCTCAGGTGCTGTAACAAGTTTGGAGGCTGCAACCGGTGCTAGAACAGGAAGTGAGGCAGAGGCGGCCGCAATCACAGGCTGGCCGGGTGCTGGATCCAGATGAGCATACTGGTCCAAATGGTGGTTCTGCTGGTCCCACCGGGTAAATAGGTTAGGTATAGGTGTATTGCCTGTACCATCTGTATTCATGGCCCTTGCGTAAGGTTAGGGACCAGGAACCAGACAGAGACAGAACTAGATGCAAAAACACCTTTATTAAAAAATAACAAATAAAGAAATAACGAAAAGCAAACTCCAGAAGGGAAGCAGGGGTCAGTCACCAGAGCGGGTAGTCAGACGAGCCAGGATCTGGAGAACGGAGATCAGCGAAGTCAGGAACCAGGAACAAACAGGAAACACAGGAACAAGGAGACTTCTGGGGAACAGGAAACCATGCAAGGGCAAGGAGGTACTTGGATTTGCTGCTTAAATAGGCTGCACTGATTAGCAGCAGGGTTGATTACATTTCTCAGGTGAGTAACCGTGGCAACATAGTGAAGGAGCTGATCTTAATCTCAGCTGAAAACTCAGACACTGAAAAAGGAATGGTTGCTGTTTAAAAAAGCAAAGAAACCCTGACAGACAGGCTGTCTCCTTTTTGGATAAACAGCCCTGCTGGGGGACAGGATCGACCATCCCTACCCCCTGTGGTTTGGGCACAGAGACCACAGTCCCATCAGTCCCATCTGCACCAGTGTGGGGCTTATCATCTCCCCTTGGTGGGCTAGGCTACCGCTGGGTCGGGGGAACGAGGCTCTCCCCTCCCGGTAGAATACTCTGCTGCTGGGGAGCAGTCCGTACTCCCTGTAGCTTGGGCACAGAGACCACGGTCCCATCTGCGCTGATGGGGAGCTTAGTGTCTCTTGGTGAGCTTGGTGTCCCATGGTGGGCTACGCTGCCGCTGGGAAGAGGGGGTAACAAGCTCCTCTCCCTTACACTCTCTCTGGTGGTGGAGAGGCGGACCGACTGTCTCTCCTTTCAATATATTATCCCGCTGCTGGGGAGCGAGACCGACTGTCTCTGCTCCCTGCCGGACACACTGCTGCTGGGAGGAAGGACGGCACCTTCGGCTCCCTGGTACTCACACTGCCGCTGGGGAGGAAGGATGGCACCTTCAGCTCCCTGGGATACATACTGCCACTGGGGATCCTCGCAGGACCAGTCTAGGAGGAGTCTACCTCAGGTACCGCTGGTTGCTGTTGGGGAATAGGACCGGTTGTCTCTTCCCGGGCCTCATTGATGAGTCGCAGGCAATCCCACTCCAGGTCACATTCCTTGGCAACCAGATATCGTAGGTCTGCCTCGAGGTCAACAGCGTTAGGGAGACTCAGCATGTCTTCTTGGTCGTAACACAGGTCCCAAAAACGAGAGTCGTAGCTTTTCCAAAGTCCTCATCGTCAATAATATCCCAAAATAGGCCAGGGTCAGCATAATCTCCGCCCTCTGGGAACTCATACTCTGCCATCTCAGGGACACACTGAGCTGCGTACCACTGTATCGCCTGGTATGCGTCGTCGAGCGCCAGTTCTGCATATACTAGAATCTCGAGTCTAGTCACCAACGCTTTTTCGTTCTGTTTTCTCAGGAGGGGCATCCACTCTGCCATTCGAGTCAGGATTCGCTGCCTTCTGCTGCGGCGCTGATCCCCTCGCCAATACTGTACTTTCTCTAGGGCTTCATCCCACAGCCCGGCTCTGGCAATCTCTCTGCAACTCAACATGTCCTCCTCTGAGACTGCACCAGACCCCAGGGATACATAACAGTACAATCTATCTTGAAACTTCTCCTCCATTTTCTGAGTTCCTTTGTACATAGGGGCGCTGTACGGATACTAGCGTTACCCTCAATTTGTAAATCCAGGGAATGCTGTTACCTTGTAGCTGTCCTTCTGGGCTGTGGGAATGATCCCGCCGCTTGCCACCAATTGTAACGGACCGTTTTGCACACAAGAGGTTAAAAACCGTTTAGGCGATATTCCCCTTTTAAATACACGAACAGCTGCTGCAAGCACCAATCTCCCGAATTGCGAACACATGAATACTCAAACTCCCAAACAGGAAACACACAAATTCACAAACACCCGAACCGGAAACACACAAATTCACCAACTCCCGAACACACGAATGCTGTTAAACAGCCAAACAGGAAAAACCATACGAACATTACACTCCTGGCAGTTGCACTGTAACAGCATACAATCCAATTCCCCCCAAGAACGAGATGACACTTCGTTTGAGGGTCAAGCAGAACTGATTTACTGGGGCTACCTGCCCGGCTTTTATGCAGGTCTCCCACCTGTTGGACACCCCCATAGGGGACCAGATGGAAGACTGGGAAACATATTGGGCATTGACCAATCACAAGCTTACAATCCCATAATGCATCACAATCCCTCCTCTCTGTCCTGGAGATAATTGGGAAATAATCCAATTATCTCCAAGGACAGAAGCAAAACTCCATTAACCACATGGCAGACAAAGGACAATAAAAGACATAAAAATACATACTGTTACATTTATCACATAGAACATACACATTCTACCTATCCCCAGATAGCTTAGATATGAGCGCACATTATTACCGGATAGCGCTCAGATCACATACATACAGTTCAATCGCCATGGAGCCAAAAGTCTTTCATACAGTCTTTCAGTATACGACTGGGCTCCATGGCATAGCTATCTGGGGTAGCATGGTTTAACCCCTTAAGGACCAAACTTCTGGAATAAAAGGGAATCATGACATGTCACACACGTCATGTGTCCTTAAGGGGTTAAACAGTTAAGTACCGAATGGACCAGTGTTAGGATAATTGACTGCAGGTAGGAGAAGGGCGGTCGGTGGCTCAGTGGTGTTCGTAACTTTAACAGTCCGCAGAAAGGCACGAACCAGCCCTCCAGTGGCCTCTGCTCCTCCAGTGGCCAGTGGCGAGGTTGGTTCCGCCACAGTGTGTCTCTTTGATCCCTCTCTGCCCTGTGTCTCTTTGCCTCTCTGTGTGTCTTTTTATCTTCCAAGCTCCTGTGGGTGTCTTTGTCTCTCTAAGCCCCTCTGTGTCTTTGACACCCCAGCCCCTCTGTGTGCCTCTTTGTCCTTCCATGTGTATTGTTGCCCCTCCGTGTATCTCTTTGTCCCCCAGCCCAGTGTGCCTTTATATCCCCCCAACTCTTCTGTGTGCCTCTTTTTCAGCCAAGCCCCTCTGTGTCTCTTTGTCCCCCAAAGCTCCTCTGTTTGTCTCTTTGCCCCCCAAAGCATCTTTGTGTATCTCTTTGCCACCTCTGCCCCACTCTGTTTCTTTTTTTCACCCACAGTCCCCTGTGAGTCTCTTTATCAACCCCCCTTTTTGCTGTCTTCCTCCTTCTGCAGTGCCAGCTTACCTACTTGTAGTGTGGTCGAGTGAACTGTGGTGAGAATCTCTGAATCCACTACTTGGTCTGGGAGCACTTCCTGTAGACTGGGTAGAAGATACAGAAGATTCTCTACTGCGGTGCTCTCGGCCACGCTGCATGAAATTATTGGCAGGAGGGGAGTGCATGGGACAGAGATACACTGGCTGTGCGTGGGTGGGTGGGAAAGACGCACTGGCTGTGCGTGGGTGGGTGGGAGAGAGAGACACACTGGCTGTGAGTAGGTGGGAGACACGCACACTTGCTGTGCGTGGGTGGGAGAGAGAGACACACTGGCTGTGTGTGGGTGGGAGAGAGACACACTGGCTGTGTGTGAGTGGGTATGAGACACTGGCTGTGAGTGGGTGGGAGAGAGAGACACACTGGCTGTGAGTGGGTGGGTGGGAGAGATACACACCGGCTGTGTGTGGGTGGGAATGAGACACTGGCTGTGAGTGAGTGGGAGAGAGACACACTTGTTGTGAGTGGGTGGGAGAGAGACACACTCGGTGTGAGTGGGTGGGAGAGATACACACTTCACTGTGAGTGGGTGGGAGAGAGACACACTCACTGTGAGTGGGTGGGAGGGAGAGAGACACACTGGCTGTGAGTGGGTGGGAGGGAGAGAGACACACTGGCTGTGTGTGGGTGGGTATGAGACACTGGCTGTGAGTGGGTGGGAGAGAGAGACACACTGGCTGTGTGTGGGTGGGAGAGATACACACCGACTGTGAGTGGATGGGAGAGACTCACTCGCTGTGAGTGGATGGGAGAGATACACACCGGCTGTGAGTGGATGGGAGAGACACACTCGCTGTGAGTGGATGGGAGAGACACACTCGCTGTGAGTGGATGGGAGAGATACACACCGGCTATGTGTGGGTGGGAATGAGACACTGGCTGTGAGTGGGTGGGAGAGAGACACATTCGCTGTGAGTGGGTGGGAGAGAGACACACTTGCTGTGAGTGGGTGGGAGAGAGACACACTAGGTGTGAGTGGGTGGGTAAGAGACACATTCGCTGTGAGTGGGTGGGAGAGAGACACACTTGCTGTGAGTGGGTGGGAGAGAGACACATTCGGTGTGAGTGGGTGGGAGAGAGACACATTCGCTGTGAGTGGGTGGGAGAGAGACACACTTGCTGTGAGTGGGTGGGAGAGAGACACACTTGCTGTGAGTGGGTGGGAGAGAGACACACTCTGTGTGAGTGGGTGGGAGAGAGACACACTTGCTGTGAGTGGGTGGGAGAGAGACACATTCGCTGTGAGTGGGTGGGAGAGAGACACACTCACTGTGAGTGGGTGGGAGAGAGACACACTGGCTGTGAGTGGGTGGGAGAGAGCAGTGCCAGCCCAAGAAGTCAAGAATTAAAAGTGCTGTACGCCCCGCCCCCCCCCCGCCCCGTCCCCCTGCCTCCCCCAAAAAAACTTTGTGCACATCCATGGGATTTTAAAATAAAACAATGTGCATCTAAAAGCCAACTTTTAGTGTGCATAGGAATTACAAGGCCGTTCATAGTGTGAGATAAAGAACAGCTTTTTAAAACTGAATAGTCTGTGAACACAAGATGACCTTGCGCTGAAAACTCACTTGCAG